TTCTAAACTCAAATCGGTGAAATGAACATGGTCTTAGTTGATTAGGCAAGCTTAAACTAATTGATGCTTGTGCGCGTGCGTGTACGTGTTTTACCACTATTTATTATTATTATAATTGGTGTTATGTAAGGTCTCGTTTATTTTACCGATTTGAATTTTCAATTTCAATTTTGCTACAGTTAAAAGCTCTCATAAAAAGTCACATATAATTTTTTCTACTACAGTTAAAAACTCTCACATAAAGTCACATCTTATCTAGAATTTAAAACTTAAATCGACGTATTGAACGAGACCTAAAATTTCATTGTACATGTGGTGAAACAAGATTCTTGTTCAAGTTTCACCAAAAAATTAGAACAGTGCAGAATATTTTTTTTTATCTTTACTCTGTCCCCACAAAAATATACCCCATTCTGCCTATTCCCATATAAGAAAATGCATTGTTGATTCACAGGCTTAACAAGGAAGCTCTTATTCAAGTTCACATAAACGACAATATTGGGCTTGTTCTTTTGGAACAAATTTTAAAAGAAGTTTGAACTCAAGTTATAATTTTATTCAATATTTGTTTATAAAATTTGAGTTTGAATTTGAGTTTTAACTTGAATTTAGGGCTACAATCTGAGTTCAAATTTTCCCTTCAACTTAAGTTTTTAAACTCAAGTTAATGAACAATATTTTTTTATATTTTTAAAAACGTCATAACTTTTTCATTTTAATTCCTATTAAGATGATTTTTTTCTATACATTCACAACGAAGAGACGAATAAAATTCTACCCATATACCTTATTAAAATATTTCATTACCATTGAGTTTTTATTAAAATACTATATAAATACAAATTTAAGTTTTGACCCATTTAAATATAATTCAAATAGATTTTTAATTCAAATCATAACTCAAATGTACACATCCAAATACAAATTCAAGTTATAACTTTAACTTAAATTATAACTTAAAATTTACATTCAAATCACTGTAACTCAAAAATGTAACACCATAAAATCCACCTAAGATTCACAAAACCAAAAAAAAAAAAAACACAAAGAAAAGTAGTTCACATGAAGCTTTTAGGAGGGGCCACGTACGAATGGCCTGCAGAAACAATCACATGATCAATCAAGCAAAAACAGTGAAAAAAAGGGAAAAAAAAGAGAGATTTGCCCATTTCAATGTTGGCGTGTATGATATTGCCCGAATGATTGTTTTATTACTTCTGCTTGAATACGTAAATAAGAATAATGAAAGGAGAATAATTATTGGTACTCAATATTTTTGCTGTTCATCAATTGGTGTCTAGACTAACTTGTACACACCGACTAATTCCACCAGACCGTGCACCTGACCAAAGAAGATTTTCGAAAGGTTTTTTACACATACTAGTTTAGTATAACTTTTCTCTCCTAAAAACAGCTTCTATTTATAGTAAAAGTTAATTTTAATATTTGATAAATCTCTTTAAAAATATTTTTTAAAATTTTTTTTAAGAATCTACAAATAAAATCAGAAACAATCTAAAGACAATTTTAACTTTTAAAATGTGCGGGAATCAACATAGTACAATTAATAAAACTTTTATAGTACTCATAATACCCCTAATAAAATTTAAAATTTAAAATATTTTCAATCTAAAATTCAGACTCGTAATATAATATAATATAATAATAATATTGTAACAAATAATATTCTAATTATATTAATAACTCTAATATTATTATTTTATCATATAAT